TACTTTCTTCTTTCAGTCTTGAACTCACTTAAGCTCAACTGAAGAAGTTAAAGATGACTAAACCAGCAACAACACCCACAAAAGTGTTTCTTGTCTTGGCACTAATTATGATCACGAGTTGTCAAGCTCGACTTCTCTTGTCCAAGACAAGTAATAGCAATGTTCTTCTCAGCGAAATATTAGGTTACAATGTGTCAAAGATACAACATTACCAGCGTCTTTCCACGTTCCAAAACATGACCCCTGATAGGCTTTCACCATCAGGGCCAGATCCTGAACATCATTCTCAGCCAAGACCAATACCTTGAAACAATATCACCTTAGTGCTTGTTTCACTGCATCTCTTACATCTTGCCTATACAGCTACCTGTAAGCTATATATAGAGCTTATATAATAGTTTACTTTCTAAATAAGGATCTTACCCCCAAAATTTTGCTTATGTGACTAAAGTCATGAGGACATAGGATCTACAAGAAGAAAAAGAAGAATTGAAGAAACAACTCCAACGTTACTAATTAAACAACTTGCGGACTCTGGTTCGTCATAGCTTCAAAGTTCTAACGTCGTCATGTTCTATATATATTATCTATATGTATGTTTTGTTAAAGGGTTGACATTTTGTGGGCAATGCTTGAAACAATGTTTTGCCTTCAATCTAGTTTTTTTACATTAGTTTATGTTTTCTGTAAAACATGTATTAGTGAACTAGCTTCTTTTTGAGATGTTTAAGGTTAGCTTAAGAAGGTTAAATCATCTTTACTATTTTTGGTAGAATAGCAGTTGTCATGGATGACAACTTGTATTTGGTTTTTGACAATGAAATGAAGGAAAAATAGTGGTGTCAGCCCAAAATTGTTCTTCGTTACTCCCTTCTCTGCTCTTTATTTTTTCTCTAGATTTCTTGTTTTCTCTAGTTTCTTTGTCATTCAGTTTCTGCATACACATATACATACACGTAGCCAACAATCAACAAGTGATATTGAAACTCATAAACTCTTTGGAGAACTGGAAATACGAACCTTTTATGTTGGAAAACCACCAAAACCCACCCACCAAAAATCATAACTTGTTGAACATGGCCTCAAGCAGTTAAGAGAGTGTTTCTCCACCAGTTTTCAACGGAAAAATTACTGGCTTTGAAATGTGAAGATGAAGGCCCTTTTGAGGCGCCCCAACCTGTGAGAAGCTGTGGAAGTTGGTGCAGATACTCTCACCTTTTCCCTTAAGAGCAGACCTAACTGTGACACAAGTGAAGCACCATGCCTTTCCTTTATTGATCACTTGGTTTGAAACAATGCTTGTGAGGATTATGTGGTGTAAAATAGGCAAAAAAGCTTCGGAGAGAATTAAGGAGTTCTAGGGAAGTGAGAGAAAGAGAGACAAGAGAGGGAGAGAGCTTGTATTTGTTAAGATGAAAGAAGACTAAATATTAAAAAAAAAAGTATTGTTGGTTTATGTTTGGAGTTCAGTCCAGGTCTTGTAAGGTTTTTGAACATGTGAAAAAAGTATGCAAAAGGGAAGAAATTGCAACATGAACAGATAGCTCAAGCTACTGAAAAAAAAGAACCACAGGATGAGAAACTATTTGTAGTAACTTCTTACTCAAACCAACACCAGTACTAATTCTTGGCTAATTGATAGTGGATGTAGCCATAATATGATACCTGATCAAAGTCTATTTTGAAGGCTTTCCAGATTCTATGCATCTAAGGTGAGAATTGACGATTGTGAATGCTTGAAAATTGAAGGCAAGAGGGATGTTTCAAAAAATAGACTCCTAGAGCTATTAAAGTAATTTCTAGTATTTCTTAAGTACCTAAAACTAGATGAAAACCTGGCAAGTTTTGGACAAGTGATAGAAATTAAGTATTCTTTAAGTATCATATACGCATAATACAAGACCCTTATGATCAAGAATTGATGACTGTGAAAATGAAAAGAGGAGCTTTAGTTTGCCCTGGAATCATGCAAAAGCTCATGGAGGAATGGTAGAAGATGTTGATTTGTGGAATAGAAGGTTTCCAGATTGTGTTCACAGTCTCTCAAAAACCTACAAAAAAAAAAGTCTAGTAGAGAATATGCATGCAATCAAGGAAAATAATGGTGTATACGAGGTATGTGATCAAACTTAGTTTCCTTTAAGGAAAAAAAAAAAAGCTTGGAGAGTCACAAAAAAGGTGCAGCTTGTAGGAGTGTCCTTTGGTCGGTCGAGAATTGTAATAGGAACCGATCAAGGATAGGAGTTTGAATCAAAGACGGGATATTTTTAGTTTTGGTGAGAGTTGAACTAAACCAGCATATTTTTATATTGGATTATGTTCAATTATTTATTTTTATTAGAAATCAGATACGAGATATCTAGTTTTTATATAATTTTAAATAGTATTTAAATTAAGAATTCGAAAAATTTAATATAGATAAAAAATAATTCAATTAATTATTTACATTCTAATAAAAATTAATTGTTATGAATTCAACTTATACTTTTCTTCTTACTTCTTCATAGAATGTTGTTTATGTTTTTCCTTTTTTGTTCTCTTCTCCTCCACATGAACCTCACTACAAACATACCCTAGCTAGAATAGGCACCTGTAGTCACCACCATCCAAAGTCGACCCATAGATCCATACACCCTATATATATATATATATTATATTATATATACTGCAATTTGCCGCCGCCACTGCATTATATCAAAAAAAAAAAAAATCTTGTTAATTTAAAAACCAAAACCTAGTATATGTATGTATTCATGAAGGTGGCCTATAAAGCTCCGGAGGGGGGATAACTCAAGCTTCTCTATTCAAGTCATACATACGTACATACATATATGTGTGTATATATATTTTCATTGTCATGTTCAATGATTAAAGAAAAGCCAACTCATGATGATACATACAATATGTATATGTCTGACTTTTCAAAAGAAAAAAAAAATGTCATGACTTCTACGATAAATACATGCAATTAATAGTTATTTTACGTTTGGATTACATTAATTATGGAGCAGATCTTTCTTTATGGTCCAAAGTATGAATGTATTTTAATATTTTTGGATTCATATCCTGAAAGCCATACTTAATTATTAGCCGAGAATCGACCAAGAAAGTGTATAGGATTTGCACTACAATTACAAATCATTAATATTTTTTTTTCTCCTCATGTAAAAGTGATTTTTGCCATCTAATAAAATGCACTAACTCAGTTGACCACTTCATTAATTTTATATATATATATATATATATATATTAAAAAAGATACCATGTAGTAGAATATCAAAAGGGTCTTGTCAAAATTGTAGATTTTTGAATCATATGTACTTTCCAAGACAAACCCAAATCACCATATCATTAAGATTGATATATATATATATATATAAAATATAGGGTCTAATTTTTTCTTTAAAAGAACTTGTGGGTAATTTTGACTGATGTCTATTACATAAAACCAAGAGAAAATGAAGCCTGGTATCAATAATCAAACATGGAATGAAGATCAAAAATTAAAAACTAAATACAAAGAACAGGAAAGAGAAAAGAAACAGTAGAGGACAAAAGAATGTTTGTCTTTAATTATGTTTTTAAAGATTTGTTATAACTAATTGATAGTTAATATATAATTTAAAAAAAAATATATATAAATATATATATAGATATATTAACATTACATGCCTACCTTTCTGACAAGAACGTGTTAACCAATATCGATTAGTTTCATTATAATTTATGGGATACAGGATAAGCAGAGCAGTATATACAGATACTTACAAAAAAATACATACATGATATTATATAATATGTGTATATATATATATACACACACACACAGTTAATTAGGACAAAGTTTTAAATCTTTTCAAGAAATCATGTGGATTATCCATGGCCAGCATATTGCATGTAGGCAATAAGTGGGCTTATTTGACAGGGCTTGATTTGTAAAGGTATCAAATGCGTCATTATAAAAGGCAAAATTTCCTCTACTTTTACAATTCTATTTCTTTCAATTAAGACAAGAAAAGAAATCTTTATCATAGCTAAAAGTGTTCTTTGTTTTAATAAGACAATACATACAACATAACAATATGTATATGTATATATATATATATATCATGACAAAAATGATAGACAACTTTGGTGTTATATATAATATGTATGTATAAGACAACAAACTCTGAAAAAGGTTCCATCGTCAATCTTTGTGGATAGAAGTAGACGACACTAAGCAAAAAGCCATTTTGTCTAAATTCCCCATTCAATTGTCTAATACTTTTTAGACATATTTATATATTAGCAATTCGGTTCAACTGTGAGTGAAGTTTATATTGTGTATATACATACATACATACATACATTTCAGGCTTATCGATTCTCTCATTTTGACCTCTCCTCTTGGAGCGATTAGCTAAGTTGGCGGGGCAGGTTCGGCCCAACGCATTTCTCAAGCCCAATCCACGTTTTACAAGTAGATTCTAAAGAAAGAGAGATATTCTATTTGTGTCGCAGAGGACTACAGAAGAAGATGGTCATGGAAGCTAAATCCACAAGCTCCTGAACTATATAGAATGCAACTTGGTAGTTGAAGATCTTAGTTGGTCGTTCGTTTTTTACCTCTTGGGTCTTTAGATATTATACCAAGATAAACCAGAAAAGCTCTCTCAATTCCTGACAGAAATCTAATTACTAACGAGCCACCTAATTTCTACATCATGATTTATATATGTTTTTTGATCCTATTGCATCTAATGAAAAAGTCTTAGATGCAGAAAACCATATGCTCTGGCTTTTGCCTCTCAAACCAAACCATGTATATATTCAATTTAAATTTTACTGTTTACACTCGATCAGCGTGACAATCAACGAGGGCATGTCTTAATGTTTATATCTATTTTAACAATTAAAGTGCCAATTTGAAAAATAAATAACCGAGAGTCAGATCACCCGATCGAGAAAAAACAAGGGAAAAGAGAAGCATACCATACCATGATTCCCAGGGGAAATTATTGGACATGAAGAAGCAATAATGATTTGATGAGCTTGAATTACAACTATCTGACAGTCTAATCCGAATGAATCTCAAATGCTTGCATACGACCAAAAACATAAAGAAGGACTACAATGAGTGTAGTAGTAAATATTAGTTAGCAATGTACACCAAACAAACTGACCAGACCATCTAAAATCATCATAACCACATCCTACCACCTATTATACAAATCTGTTCTGTGGAAATGGATACTCCACATCTACTTGGCAGAGAGACACTGAGAGGCTGGCTCCAGTTCAAACAGACCCTCTGCAATGGCAAAACTATGGGTTGGACACCTCCACAGTTTTACCCACTCTACATCTTTTCTCGGATTCTAATCATCTCCACAAACTTGAAAGCTTCAATGCCGTAACACGTCACCTATATTTTCTTAAATCTGCCACCGTAAATATAAAAAAAAAAAAAAAAAAGGGAAGATCAGCAATTTTCTCACACTATTTAGACTATCGGAGAAACAATATCACATTATCTTTTTTTTTTTTTTGAGTGAATATATCATACTATGCAGGACTAGAATGATGATCTTTGGGAATGCTCTCACGTGCTGCTTTAGCCCAAACAAGGCTGCTGTATTCATTAGATTTCCTTAATGACACTAACCAAATGGAGGAAACTCTTCCTAAACAATGCATTGCCTATCCTTTCCGACCACCATTCTCACTGGTCTATTTACTTATCTTTGATGTCCATCATCCTGGGTATTAAAGGCAATGTCTCAACACTCTCTTCTGCATGCCTTTCTGTCAACAATCAGCTAAATGACACACATATGTTGCGCAAACAAAATGCTAATGCTAAATCTGGCAAGATCTACTGGAGAAAACATAAGGAATAGCAAAATTATTGTCAAGCCAAACATCTACTCTAACAGAGGATAAGCAAATGGCAAAATCATCCTCGCAATATCAAGAGGAACACAAGCAAAGCAAGTAATGAAATGACAACTCAAAATGATAAGTAGAAAGGTAGAAGAAAAATATTAGTGATGAGAATTTTAGGAATGTCATTGACATGATAACTATCTTGTAAATCTTTTGTCCACGGCTGGTACCCTCTTTTGGTACCTTGTACATACACTTTACATTTTTATTTTTTTTTAAGAAAAGATAGAAGAAAATATTCTTCTAAAATACATTCTTAGCATGTGACAAGGCAAATTAGCATTGGACAAGAACACAGCTAAAAATATGATCATTACATGTAAAATTAGCATCAACTAACTATTGCACTCAAGTAACGCATGAGACTTTTGATCAACTTGTCATGAAAGGAAGATAAGGCAATGTGGATATCAGTAGCTGCGCGGTTTGAGTATGCATTTCTTCTTCTCAACCACCATAAAAAATGTTCATGAAATTAATCTATTGGATTTACCATCCATTTATACCAAGCTGTTCCCAATCCTAAGACTAGTTAAACAATTGCTGTAGCCATGAGCATTGGACTCAGTGACGCCTAAAGAACAATATTGAAAGGCGTAAGTGGGAAAGTTCACGGAAATTTTACAAGCTCCATAAATCAAAAGCAGCTGGCATATAAAGAACTTTTCTATAAAATTTGTTATTCCTAGAAGTCCAAATTACAAGGATATCTTCTAGAGCTTATATAATAGACACAAGGAGAGTAACTAGCAAATCATGTTAATACATACTCTCAACATAGAGAAGGCACTACAATGAGGTAAATGCACATCGAAGCAAAACCAATTTAGCTTTTGAAACGGGGGTATATCTTCAGTCTGTCTTTAATGCCCTCCCATAAAAATCCAAATAATTCAATTTTGGCTCATAGAGGAGGTTATCCTGTGACAAAGTAAGAGCTATTAAACAGGGAACTCAGTAATCCTCATACTAAATGTGTTTGATAAAGCAAATTCACAACTCTCAACCTGATGGCTCACGAGATTGTGACTGCCGAAAAACTTATCAGATTTCAGACACAAAATTCTAAGAACCAAAAGATTTATAAAAGATCCAGTTTCAATATGTAATTTTTGAATGGAAACAAACATGATCACAGAGTCATGTTATTCATTAGTATCTACGTTGATTGATGACATTAGCAATGAGGAAACTTCAGTTTAATCATTCGTGCCTCATCCACAACATATACAAAGCCCTCCTGGTTCTACATACAAGTCAACTTTGTCTTCTATTTCCAACAAAATAACAATCATTAAGCATGGAAACAAAACCGATTTCAACGATATTATCATACCTAACTTATCAAGATTATGTCCTAGGAGAATGCCCTGCATCAGATCCAGATCCCGAGGAACTTTCACTATCAGAGTCTGCAAGAAGTACATAGGTCCATTTAAGAAGACGCATATGAAGTTATCCCAACAAAAATAAAAATTCTCAGTTTCCCAGAAATATATGCCACATAATCAGAAATTGGTCAAATAGAGTCAGAAATGAGAGCAGTACCACTTGATGAAGAACCAGAATCACTTGAAGAGCTGCTTGAACTACTTGATCTACTTGCATTATCTCCGTGCTTTTGCACTTGTATAGATGATGATGTGGAAACATTCCTTTCATCTGCCGGATGACAAAAATTAACTACAAAATTAGGATTAAAAAAAATAAAACCTAACAAGTCTAATAAAGCATTCTCAATATAAAATTTCATCCTACCTGCTTTTGTTTCTTTCGGCAATTCCACCGTCGCTGGAGCTGGGGTCTGCAAGAGAAAAGCAACAGTGACTCATTTTGCAAACTTTGTTTAAGAAAATGATGAACTATAATCTTATTGGAAGGAGGAAATAAATGAGAAAACAGAAGAGTTCATTCAAAGTCTCATTGCCCTTACCTCCTCCTGGAGCTGGACATTTTGCTCAGCTTCTGCTCTGGCTTGAATAGCAAGTTCAGCTTTTCTCTTGTTCTTGCTCAAACTTTTTTTGTAGTTGGTCACAAACCTGTCAAGCTCCCAAAGAGTTTCCGCATCAACACTATCAATATCCACTTCAATTTCATCATCATGTTGGAAGAGGGCTGAATTCCTCTTCTTAATGATTTGTACTATGTTGTCAAGCTTGTCTGAAGGCAAACTCTGAAGGTTATTACTAAGTTTCTGTTTCTCCTCATATGTCATGTCCCGTTTTTGTGGATCCTTAGCCTTCGGTTTCTTTGGAACAGGGGTCCTACCAGACGGAGTAGTAGTGATGGATTTCGACCTCATATCAACAGGTCGTGTAATAGATTCTGATCTGTCCAAGATTCTTCTCATATCAAGAGGGGGTGGAGGAAATGGAGGAGCTTTTCTTGTTGTAGGTGTATGAAGAACCATATCATATTCTGAAGCAAACCTCATCTCACGATTATAGTCAGCCTCTATGGCAGTCCATTTATCCTCAAATATCTTTGACAACTGCTCTGCCATTATGTGAACATCCTGTCCTTTGGGATTATATGTCATAGCATTGTGAAAAGTAAGTCTCACATCCTCCGCAAATTCCCTTGGTGACTTGTACCAATTCTTGTTCAGCCTTGACTTCACAGATCCTAAATCCATTGGATGTTTAATAATGGTGAAGTAATCATGCAAACCAAGACCCTTTGCATCAACCGGGGCATTAAAAACCCAGCCATGCTTGTGCTTCATCAATCGTTCTAGCAACGCACTACAACTCTTGAAAACCTTGGAGCCAGGCCCAAAGCCATGTCCCAGTTCCCCTCCTTGTTTCTTCCCGTTCAATTTTGATTTCTTATTGCTCTCTGCTGGTGGGAACTTATCTTTTGCAAGCAAGAATTCAGAATTCCTATAGAACTGATTTGCCTTCGGAGTCCTTTTCTCTTTCTCCACATTCTCGGTAACACCCTGACTATTCTCCAACACAGATATACTCAGTTGGTTCAAAGGCCTAGACTGTCGAATAACCTCACGAGGAACTCCGCCTGAAGCCACCTCTGAGTGAATCCTCTTCACTCCATTATCAACCCCTTCATTAACAGAAAAAAGAGCGTTGCTCAACCCACTAATCTGCCCTTCCTTCGCTTCTATTTTCTTCACCAAACTCCTTACCAAATCAAGCTCTTTTTCAAGCCTCTTCCTTAGCTCCCGCATCTCCTGTTTCGATCTTGTTGCCAAATTGATTCTAATTCTATTATCGGAACCTTGCTTTACCATCCTGTTCCCAGGTGCCTGGTCCTGGGCACTTGCAGCAACAAGCTGCGGCCGATTAAGGCTCGAAGAGTCATCAGAAGTAGCATCAATTCGAGATATGATCTGTTGCTGAGCCAAATTCGCATTCTCTGACGCTAGGGCTTGCGGAGGCGCTTCGATTAGGTTTACGTTTTCGGTACTGTTGTTGTTCTTATCGTTCGTCGTCGTTGCCGTAGTAACTGTGGCAATATCGGGATTGTTTACGGTACTGTTGTTGTTAGTGGTAGCATCGCCGGCGGTGGTTGCAGTGGTGGTGGTAGTGACAACATTATTATTCTGTTTCTTGGGACCTTTAGAAGCTTTTCTTGTATAAACCTTGCTCTCCGTGTATCTCTGCTTCTCTTTAGCTCCATCATTTCCTTCTCCAACTATAGGCCCCGAAGCCATACATGTAACTGAAAAACCCTAATTCACGCCTTTTCACTTGATTCAACCTTTTTCCCTCGCACGGGAACGTATTCCTAAAATTGGCTACAAACTAGGGTTTTGCGATCCACAAAAACCCTAATTCCCGAACCAAGAACGCAATTAAATTAGGGCTTCCTCACCGAGTGGAGAAAATGCCAAAACCTAACGCAAACCTCCTCCGATCTGGTTTCTTTATTTAATAACCGAAGAAGAAACAGATGAACAAATAAATATGACCTATATATATATGTCTACATGCATACACATAAAAGGAAATTTGGCATAAGAAGAACAACGGAGTTTCAAGCTTCTTTACCTCACGTTTCGATCAGATCTCCTCCGAGACTCCCAATGTTCTCTCTCTAGCACTTTCTCTCTCTAAACACTTCCTCTCTCTCTCTCTCTCTCTCGGTCTGGCGCTCGTGCACTGTATCCTTATCTTACAGGTGTACGGTAGGAGAGGCTTCGTGAACCGCCACGAATTGAGAGAAGCGTGTGGATGCACCAAAAGAGCCGTGCTCGGGAAGTATCATAGCGCACGCGAGGTGTGTTGGACTAACGCGAATATGTTCGGCGTGGGGAACACGAACCAATCAGAGAGCTTAATGCATGTAGCGTGACGTGGACGCCGGTGCGGCTGAATAGTGTTGAATTGTGGCGGGGAGTTTTGATTGAGGAAATTCGAAAGGGTTCCCCATTCGCTGAGCTTTGACGTGAACCTCACCTCCCGAACTGTTGGGTGACTGGGAGAACGGAGGAGTTTTACACGCGCCGGTCATTCAGAACTTTCCGTTAATGTCAGAAAATTTCTTGTTCCCATTTTCAGTCCACAAGAAAGGAGCAAAATTAACTAATTGATTAATTAAATAATATAAATATTAAATTATTATTTTTAATATAATTTTATAATCTAATTTATAAAAAAATACTAAATAGTTATTTTTTTTTAAAAAATAAAATCAATTTTAATTATAGCCCTGTAATTTCTCTCTGCTAATTCTTCCCATTCTTCTCTCATACTGTAAATCATCCGAGCCTGAGAACCAGGAAGCCATCTGCAAACTGGAATGAAAAGCCATGTTTTCTCCAGCTCTAATGAGGTGCTCGTCTTTATCTTCTCATCTATTCAAACCCAAAACCTACTCTTCTTTTTCTTCTTCTGTAGATAAGTACAGACCGTGGTCAGGTCTCCAGAACTGGAGAGAGAGCCCGCTCAATGAGAACCGTTTTTGGGGACCCAGTGGCCCTGAACCTGTACCAGAGTCGCCTCTCCATCCAAACGACCACAGTGACGACCCAATTTCGTCTGCCTCGTCTCTTGCGGAGCTTGGTGCTGTGGTTCTCTCCACCAGTGATCCTCTCGCCAAGTCCAAGCTTTCTCATTTGGCTTTCTCTCGGTGGCGGAACGAGAATTTGCCTATTGGGGTCTTTGACCCGCCTTCCAGACCCGCTCGCCCTCCTAAACCTATCTTGGTTCGTTTATTCTAAAGCTGTGGAAGCTTTGATTTTTAGCCTTCTTTAATAGCTTCCTACTTTTTGGGCTTTGCTGTTGAGCTATTTTATGAGGTTGGTTTTAAACATCTAGAAGTATAATTTGCAGTCTCAATTAAATTTCTTTCTGCATATTGTAGTGTACTGTTCTTTTGAATCTTACCTTGCTCTACTACATTCTTGCTTCCTGACTTTTTAGTTCATTGCAATGTTTAGAACAAATGGATACAAACAAGTGTCACTCATTTGCAAATTTATATTTTACTTTTAGAACTTGGATAAAATATATTTTAGTAAAGCCAAGTAAAGCTTATCAATGAATCTTTATCTTAGTAAAGCTTATCCTCCTTCCACATGTACCACCCACCTTTTGTTTTTCATTCTGGTGACTTGTCTCTTGAGACCATATAAGGTCTTTCATATGACATCTATGATTTATGTGCTTTGAAATTGTCAACTGTGTTTGTGATTTTGTAGTCACTAGTTAAGTTAGTGCTTACTACAGAGGCATTTTATATTGGGTCGAGGTGTTCCTCTCCATTATCAGTGACTAGTTGTGGTTTGAGACGTTTTTTCTTTTTCTGTTTTCATGATTTTGAACACTTGAACTGAAGGTTCTGATTATTCAAGAGGCAAATGTTTATTTTTGTGGATTATATGAGAGCTAAGATATTATGAACATATTAAGGAGTTTGGCTGATTCAAGACCTTGAGATGGAAATAATTTTTTATCCTTCATGTATCCTGTTTCAATATAGGTGTCGCCAAAGGAAATTCCTGCTCCCAAAAACTCAGGCCTGCCTCTTAATGCTTATATGCTTCATAATCTTGCTCATGTGGAGCTAAATGCAATTGATTTGGCATGGGATACTGTAGTTCGGTTTTCTCCCTTCTCTGAGATTCTTGGCAAGGGTTTTTTTGCTGATTTTGCTCATGTTGCTGATGATGAGAGTCGCCATTTTGCATGGTGTTCGCAGCGACTTGTGGAGCTTGGTTTCACGTAGGGAAACCTGTTATACTTTATTAAGATAATTCTTATTTTATGTTTGAGTTGGCTGACTTCGAACTACTTTTAATTTAGCTACGGAGATATGCCTGCTCATAACTTGCTTTGGAGGGAGTGCGAAAAATCATCTGATAATGTTGCTGCACGTTTGGCAGTCATTCCACTAGTCCAGGTAATGTCTAAATCTAAGCGATGAAACAATCTTGTGAAGGTATATTTCCGTAGGATTAGGAATTTTTCTTCTAAGTAAATTACTATTTTAGCAGCCTTACTAACATGGATTTTTATATTTTAGAAGGATTTCATCTCTTCTTCAATTGGAAGTTTTATCGTGTTCATATTAGCTAATCAAATTGGAATACTCGATCATTGATGGAATATTGGCTGATTAAATTAGTAGTTTAGGTAATAAAAATATAGGAATATTCGCTAATTGATGAATACATTAAGAGGCCTATGATTGTGGTCATTATTTTATGATCAACGTGGTTGTGGATAGCCAATTTCTACAATTATAGATTGGATTTTCTTATCCTTTTATATCTTTCTTAAATTATGAGTTAAGCTAAAAATTTAGTTGAATGAATGGATAACTAGTTGTTCTTTTAATTAAAAAATTATCTTAATGGAGTTTATAGTTTGGTAAGGGGTATATTAATTGAAAAATATGGTCAAAATGGTTGATAGCTACCTACCAAAACCTCAAGAATGCGGGGTACAAAAGGATGGTCCTAGGAGCTTCTTTTGTTGGGCTAAAAATTCTTGAATTTTTACACTTTTTCTATATTGATACCCACTTGGTGCCTTCTTTTGGAACCAAAAATGTTGCTTTAAGTATCTTTGATCATGGAAAAGCCAATTCAATTTTGTCTTTATCTCAATCTGAATTTTGAGCTGAAATAAGCAAGCCATAAGGAATCACTATGTTTATTGAACCAAATCAAAAAAGAACATTATGTTTATGCAGTGAAATTAATTTAATAGTTTCTTAATATGTACATGATTATTGATATTCCATATTTTGCTATCGATCAATTCTATGATTGACATAACAATCAAACAGTTTTGAGTTAAAGAATATATTGGGATTGACGTGTATCTCCATTGATGTCTTAGCTAGCAACAGGTAATAAATTCTTAGAAATCACAAGCCTAAAGCTTTATTTTCTCTTTGTCAATTGCAGCAGCGAACATGTCTTGTCTCCAATAATTACTTACATTAACATTTACAATTTTTTAGCAACACTAGCTAATGTAAAAGAGTTTCAGTCCAAATTACCCTACACAATATAGAAATTGAAGAAAATCTGGGATAGAAGACTAGGTAAGACAGAAACTAGGGGGATTGGTGGTGAGGAAGTAACACGGAGGAAAGAGGAATAGTAAGCAGGCAAGAGGAGCAAAGCAAGAGATGGATGCAACAGGTAAAGAAAAAACACGAAATTCTATCACTCAAAACATCAAATCCGAGCCCTGTTTCCTGCAGATTAAAGAAACCTTTGATATGTCTAACCTCAACTAAAATGTAGAATAAATTAGAAGAAAAAAATCTAAAGCTTCCAAAATCCTACACAAGCAAATAGACTTGAATCTCCTAAATGTCTATTTTCAAAATAACCAAATAAAATAAGATCTCTTAAAGTTCCTAAAACAAATTTATATATGTAGATTAGATGGTTTTTACATTATTCTCCTTCACTTACGAAGAACTTGACATCGATGAATTAGAATGTATAACAATCTAAGAACTTGGAGCTCAAGGTGCCATGATGGATCTTCATCAATCCAAATAGTAGCAGACTTGGGATGAATTTTCCTTATACTCGTTGAAATTGCCTTTGGAGGTGGTAATGATCTCTATTCAAATTAAGAGGCTCCAAGAAACCTTGATAAGTGATAAATCCATAACTATTTAGAATATGATCTATATTCGAATGGTTACTTATATGATCTATATTTGAATGGTTACTTATATGATCTATATTCGAATGGTTACTTATGTCAAGAAGATACGTATTAGATCTATATTTTTTGAAGGAGGGGAAACAGGCCAAGGGAAGAAGGATATGGCAAGTTTGGTCAGCATTTGACAATTACAAAATCATCAAATTGAAGAGGATCATCAATAGATGAAAAAAAAAATTGTATGCTCTTGCCCTTTTCAGATATGGCAGGCGAAGGATTACTCATGACTTTTGGACTTTCTCATGCCCTTAGTACTCTCATGAGGGTGATGATTCACATCTTGGAACCATTTATTGGAAAATTCCTTGTAGTTTATTCTGATGGCACCCTGGTTTCTAGAAATCTAGGAATGATCATCCAGATCAACTGAGGCAATTTTTTGAAACACTTATGGAGGTTGAGCTTTTCTTAGAGGAAAAAAAGGAATTAATATATCGAAGGCAGCAAGGGAAGGCCACCAATATGTAGGAAGATAATTTATTGCTCAGTTGAAAACTTAAAAAGATCTCCTGAATCCTTATCAATATGAAGATGAACATCCTTAGACTAAAGCATTGGTCCGGAGACAAGAATCTTTCCAAAAGAAAAAAAAAATTCTCAAATCAGTGACTGAAGCCATAATATAACTATATTTATGAATCTCAAGAAATATTACAAAGAGTCTCAATTTTCATGCTCCTACTACTTTCATGTGAGATTCATCAATTTAGTTACATTATGGCTTCCGTCGTAGTTTCTTTGTGAAATTAAAGGAATTTTAATGGTCCTCTTCAACAGTTAAAGCATTTTGGAATGAAGAACACAGTTTCTGGAGCTCTTGTTTTAAGGCATCGTAATTTTGATAAATTATTAGACGTTCCTTGTGATGACTCAGGAGTTGCAGTAGGGGGAATGTTAAGACAAGAGGGGCATGATTGCAATTATTTTTTTTTGAAATAAGACAGATAGCAATTATTAAATAGAGATTATGTGAGGTGCAACAAAGGTATTGTATGTATGATAAAGGAGTTCTGTTTTGTAGTATAATTTTCCAATTGGAGTTATTACCTCCTTCCCAGAGAATTTATTTTGTATCTTGACCATTTAATTTTGAAATAATTCAACCTCGCAAAAGCATTGAGCATAAACATGCTACGTGGGTTGCCTTTTGATAATGAAAATACTTTTGTTCTTAAGAATTGTTTGGATATTTAGTTTTTTATGCACTTGATAGGCAATTATTTTCTTAAATAAAGTCAGTGCTCAGGTCATTGGCTTTGATAGGATCAAGGATAAATATTCTACTTGTCTCTACTATGGTTTCATCTATCAAGAAGTTAAGTATGATTGTTGTAGAAGATTGTGGTATACTTTTCATATATGAAAGGTATTTGTTTAAAGCCAATAGGTTATGCATCCCAAATATTTCTCTTAGGAGTTATCTTATTTAGAAATGCATGTAGATAGGCTAGCGTTGAGGTTGTGGATTTAGGACCCAGTCATGGATTTATTGAGAATCAAATAAGTAGAATTAGGGTTTAGGGCTCATTCAAAGAGCCCTTCGTTCATTCAAAGAACCTTCTTTCTTTACATATATAGGGAAGATCACTGCTACTGGTTTTCCAATATCCTGAGATTTGACTGATCCTCATTACATCCCAATTTCCCATTTTATTTTATTCCTAAATAATCCAATTTCCTATTTTGTTCTGTTCCTAAATAACCAATCTCTGTTACAATCAAATTTCCTATTTTATTTTATTTCTAAATAACTTGCTCTTTTGTTTCACTTGATTCCTAAATAATTTTTCAAACGAAAACCTAAGCCAAAATAGCGGATAGCTTTCACATTGCCCTACTCTTTGCTTTTGGTTCATGGGTCCCTGCTTTGTTCTTATGTTCTTTTATGACATTGACTGTAAGATTATAATCCTTCTTAAGGTGCTTGTCCTCAAGCACCAAAAATGAGAAATGGAGTCAGCCTGGAGTAAAGAGCCATCCAAAAGCAACAGTACAAAATCTGGAGGTTGTCCAGGCGAATATGATGGTTTGTTTCAGGCTCTTGACGTGCAGCAGGTTTTGAATAGTGACGACCAGATTGTGTGGAAGCTGGAAAATAATGGAACTTTTTCTATTTCGTCCTATTATAAGCATTTGTGTTATAAGGATGCTGCTGGCAGCAGCGATTTTCCGACCAAACTCATTTGGAGGACTAAAATCCCTCCCTGCATAGCTTTTTTCGCATGGGAGGCTTGCTGGGAATGAATATTAACTATGGACAGACTTAGAAGTTTGGTTAGGATTACTGTCAGTGGTTGTTATTGCTGTTTAAGGGATGAGGAAACATGCAATCATTTATTATTGTGGTGTCCTACTACATATGGGCTCTTTGGGATTGATTGGGTTATTGCGGGCTCGGTTAGGGGTGAGATTTGGGCCTGTGATGGTTTACTTGTAAAAAGAAACATTGCTAATATGATTCCTTTGACGGTTTTTTGGGTCATTTGGAAAGAGAGGAATAGTAGAGTTTTTGATAGTGTTGAGAATAGTTTTAATAGAATTAAAGATAGGTGGATACACTATTTTGAGTCTATTTTGTTAGGTCATGACATCAATAGTGAGTTGAATTTTGGGAGTGTCATTGATACTCTGACATTATTGTAATTGCTTATGTATATGGATGATACTCCTGTTTTATTGGTATCATGTTAATAGATACTTAACACTTTTTATTTCAAAAAAAAAAAAAAAACTGCTGCAGAATCTGGTATTCTAGTTCAAGCTTAGTAGACTTGTTCTCATACCTCTTTTTAAACATGGGTTCATGGATTTTCTTCTCCTGCTTCTCTCTTGTTTGCCTTAGCTGCCTTGCACATTCCTTGACAGCCCCATCAAGATGTAACCTGACCTTCAATGTTGATGGTTTAACTGCTGTCTCAAGTTTTTAACTTTCATGCTGCAACTTCATTTTCAGGCTTATCTAACCAGCAACAACTATGGAAGCTTCTCAACTAGGTCATTCTTGGTACTAAATTGACTGGAGCAGCTGATAACTTCTTTGTTAGCCAGCTTATATTATCACTAATAGCTTCACCATTAGCTATAACTTTTGATGTGACCACAGGAGATTAATTATTATTGTTAAGAGATCCTTTAAAAGCCTCCAGCTGGTCATTGTATAACCTAGAAGCCACTGGATCCATGGTCCCGTCTAGATATGGAAGATTCAGTCTTCAAAACCATGGGACAGTTCCCCTCCCTTGTGCTATCTTCGGTGAGAGGCCTTTTATCTTGGCAATTGTTCCTGCTGGCCAGAATGGTGGTGCTGGTACCTTCCAAGTACCTGGGATCAACTATTTGCAGAGGCCGTTAATATCCATTGTTAACACTCTTTCTCTTTTCCATCCAGACATGATCTTCATGGTAGAGTTTGAGGAAGGCCTCAAACTATTATTGAAAGTTTTTCGTGCGTTTAGTGACTCCTGCTCTAGCAATATGTTATGGTCACAGGTTTCAGATTGAGTTATGGGTATTAATAGTTAGAGTTAGTGCTCGTTAGAGAGGACTTTTTGTTCTCTCGAATTAGGTGCTCCAAAACCTTTTGTAATAAATTCTTTATTCATAATTTTATTGATAGCTACATTTATTGAGAAGAGCATTGCTACCAGTTTCATAATTTCTAAGATGTGGTTGATCCCTGTTATTGCTCAATTTCCTATTTTATTTTGTTCCTAAACAACCAATCTCTATTATTCCTTATTTTATTTTATTTCTAAATAATTCAACTTTCTATTTTACTTAATTGTTCCAAATGGCAATATCACCCAAGAAAGGGTGAATTATGTGTTGTCATCTTTTCAGATTTAGTATTTTAACTGAACTTCTCAACGTACTTTGATTATGATATTATGTGATATATGCGTTTGCCTTGATATTAAACATTTTTGGATGAATGCACAGCTATAATGATATAAGGCAGTAATGAATGAAAAGCTAGAGAGAGAAGACACAAAATCAATATGTAGTGGACCTGGACTAATCAGAGACGGAATCTAACGTGCTCACAAATTGTCAAAATCAGAGACTGAATTCGTACAGTCTCTTATTTTGATGTCAAAGTCGGTGAATATATGTCAACGTACTTTATTCTTAAGTAACTTAAATTTAACATTTAATTTTATTCCTGAATGATTCCTATAATAAAGCCCCAAGCCAAAATAGCAACTAGCTTTAACTTCACCATGCTTTCTTGGTTTTTTTTCATGGGTCCCTTTTTTGTGCTTTTCTAGTTTTATTCTATTGACCACAACAGCTAGCAAGTCATCTTACTAGAGAGAAAAATTTTGATTTGGCCCAAGTTATGCTAGATTGTTTATCTAGTGGAAGGGATTTTGCTAAATTTGTCTCCCCATGTCACAACATATTAATTAGCAAAGGTCAGGAAAGAGTAATATATATATATATACATTGAAATATAAAAGGAAAGATTATTATATTCGAAGGGATGTTTGCTAAAGTTGTTTCCCAATATCTAACATGTCAGTTAGCAAAGGTAAGGAAACAAAATATTGATCTTTAAGTTGCTTACACGTTTTTCATGAACTTTGGAAAGGTTTGAGGATGGACATTGGGATGAAGTTACCTAGGACACCTGGAAGTCAAGATTCTGTTTTAGTAGTTGTGGATGTGTTTTAGAATGTGACTTTTTCTAATCACTGTAGTAAAACATAATAACAATTCATATTACTAAGTTATTCATTAGTGTCAACAGATACGGATAGCATTAATTAGACTGGGTGTTGTAGAAATAATTGGGTGTTAATTGTTATATCTAGGATTGACCATTTGGGTGATATTTTTGTAATTCTTTACGTAACACTACTTTTGTAAATTTAGCTCCGCACAGGAGACTTTATCTAAGGAGATTTTTCTGGCACTCATGAGCTTTATGGAGGATAAAGACCCAGGTTCAAATGTTTTCTCTATGGTGTTCGTTTAGAATAATATAACAAAGGTGAAGGAAGACTTTTTGGCTGCATTGATTGACTTCTCAGAAGGGGATCCTTTGTGTCTAGCCTCAATTTCACATTCTTCATGCTCATTCCTAGAATCTTAGTCACTTCAAACATCAAGAATTTCATACCAGTTAGTTCGGTGGGTTGCATCTGCAGGTTTATTGTAGAAGTGTTGGCTAGAGGTTGGGTAGCATGGTGGTTAAACTTCAACATGCTTTTGTGGAGGGGACATATCTAGGATGCTATTTTGATTACCCAATGAGGTTATGGACTTTTTGCAAGGAAAAAGAGTTGAGGGTTTGATAACTAGATGTTGAAAAGACTTACAACCATGTTTCTGGGGGATTTTTGTTCTAGATGCACAGAGGAGACTTGGATTTGGTAACAAATGGTGCTCTTTGGACGAAGTCTTGCAACTCTTCTTCTTCTTTTGCAACTATAGTCTTGGTGGCTCTTCTAGTTTTGCAAGGCGTCTTAGGTTGAAGACAAGAGGATCCTCTTTCACCATTTCTTTCCATCTTTTGTTATGGAGGCTCTTAACAGGTTGATTGATAGAATGAAGGACCACAAGTTACTCCAGGTTTTGTTTGTGCGGGAGCAAAGGAGGGAGTGGAGATAATGGACTTGTTTTTTGTGGATGGAACCTTTTTATTTTGCAAACTAAATTCTGAAATTTTATCTAATATTAGATGCATCATTTTATCTCAAAAAAAAATATTAGATGCATCATCTGGTGCTTGCAAGTTGTTTATGGTCTTAAAATTAACTTAACTAATTCTAAAATGGTCTCTTTTGTGAAGAGTGGGATACTGAGTCTTTGGCTGGGATTCTAGGATGTAAATTTTCTAATCTCCCTTTCGAAAATATTTGGGGTTACCTATTGGAGCCAAGTTCAAAGATACATCTATACGGGAACTAGCAGTGACCAGATGTTAGAAGGGACTGATGGGGTTGAAAAAGAGATTACTTTTGAAATGGGTCAGGCTCATTGGTATCAAGGGTACCATCTCCAAGTTGCCTATCTACTACTTATCTTTGTTGCAATCCTTGCCTATTGATTACTTATCTTTATTCCCAATCCTGTTAATATGGCTAAAAAGTTGGAGGCAATCCAATGCTATTTTTAGTGAGGTAATTTTGAGGACTGCAAGAGGTTTCACTTGGTAGTGCATAGGTGAGGCCTGCTTTCTGAAAGGGTGGGTTTGGTATTAGATGAATTGTTGAATTCGACAAACCTCTTTTTTGGGAGGTGATTTTGAAGATTTATGAATGATCAAGGCAGTCCGGAGGGTGATCAAAATAAAATTCAGGATGGAGACGAGGAGGTGGAGGTCCAGGCAAATCTAGAAGAGGTTAAGGGTTTGGTTGGACAATTGGAGCAAAGAAGGGGCTTTCCAACAACAATTTCCTAGTGTATTTGCCTTTGCCAGATATAAGGATGCCCACCTTGACTGAGATTTCTCTTTTGCCTCTTGATCTAGGCTGTGGACGGTTGATCTTGTTAGAAACCTTAATGACTGAGAGGTGTATGAATACGTCAGACTTTTCTAGCATCTTTCCCAATGTACTGGTCCTTACAAGGATATTAATAAGTCAAACTGGAAGTTTTGTCATGATGTATCTTTTTCTGTGAAATTTTTCTATTTGCAGGTAGCCAACATTTTACTGGGCATGGGAATTTTCCCTCAAAGCAAATTTGGAAAATTAATTATCCTGCCAGAATTGCTTTATTTGCTTGGGAAGCAACAAGCAGGATCCTTGTGAATAGGTGTTATGCATGAAAGACGACAGCTATAACACTAGGTCACCTCTTGTGTTAGTGTCATCTCTCTTTTTGCCTTTTGAAGTGGGGAGGCATGATCTGGGACCCTTGTTGTATCGGAAGATGTATTATTATAGGATAAGAATTTGTTAATAGGATTTTAATTCTTACGGAGATAGAAGCATTATACTGTTTCATTGTCCTGATCAAATTATGATTTATACATACCCTTTGATTATAGGATGAATCTTCTGTATTAGTCAGACTGGTTAAATAAAATATACTAAACTTATCTCATTTATCTAGTGCATCGGAAGCTTTATTATTATGGTTGTTTTATTGATCCATGTGATAATGGATTGCCAAGGCATTACTACATAATATGCTTGTAATGTTGGATTACCATGTCTGTATTTTATGTTCGATACATCTGTCCTCATCCTTTCCGTACTTTTTTCAGTAAATAGGATGATTTTTTTGGAAGACAAATATAATGGATATAAGATCTCTTTTATTGAAGACCATACCCGAAAATGGAAATAGGTAATGGAAAGATCTTCTATGACCACCGAACATAGATACATTTTTCCTGTGTGGTGTTTATAAAAACTTGATTATATTGTATTTTCTCTGGATTTTTAACTGCATTTTTCTACTTATCTAATTGAAGGTAACTCCTAATATTATGGACTGCTCATGTCTTATTCTGGGGCAAAATTGTTTGATTGATTGATTTATTTATTTATTTATTATTATTATTATTAGTATTATTTTTGCTTCAATGCTCATTTTTAAACGACTCAGAATCTAGGACATTTGAACCTCCAACCTCCAATTTGCGGAGATGGAAAGGCATTAGTTGGCCCATAGTTGACTAAAAATCTTGTAGTTGCTGTATGCTTTTGATACAGGAGGCTAGAGGACTTGATGCTGGGCCACGCTTGGTGCAAAAATTAGTCGGATTTGGTGATAATAGGACCTCTAAAATCGTGTCTAGGATTGCTGATGAAGAAGTTGCCCATGTTGCTGTTGGAATTTGGTGGTTTGTCTCAGTTTGTAATACAATGGGTCGAGCCCCTTGCTCCACATTTAAAGGTTGAGGAACATTTCCTAGCTTCAGTGCTAAATACTTTTTTGTTTGTGTAGTAAAAATTCTCGAAGAATTTTTACGCTGACTTTCATCATTTGACCATGCAGACTTGCTTAAAGAGTATGATGTTGAGTTAAAAGGGCCATTTAATTACTCCGCTCGAGACGAGGCTGGCATTCCTCGAGACTGGTGGACATCTTTATATAAGAACAGTTTTCACCGTTTTGGTTAGAATTGAATCTTGGCTGTTTCTTGACAAACGTCTTCTTGCTGTCCAGGTATGACCTATCGCATGCAAATAAACAGGATGAAAGAAGGAAAGAGGATACAAATGAGCAGTTTTCTGCGGTGAGTGATAGTCAATTTAGGGTTCTAAGAGAACAAATTTGATGCTTTGGGATGAAAAGAATTTATGGGTTGTTTGAATTTGGTTGACAGGTTTATGATAGGCTTGCTTGCATCATTTCAATGGAATGTGAGAATTCAAGTTTAGAAAATCCCCCTAGATGTAGATGATAATCAATTAATGGCAGCAGAGGAAATTTCACTTTTGGCATTCAGGTCAGGTGAGTCTCAGCAATTTGGAGCAGCAGCCTCATTGAAGATTGATTGATCATGTGATGTTCTTAGCTGGTATAATTTCTTGTTTCTTTAGTTCTATCAGCTGTATAGTTTGAGTATCAAGTGTCTATTAATAATATATATTTACATAATTTCTACTGTTTTTACTGTTAAATTCTGTTTTTGTTGTAAATTTAACAGTACATATAATATATAATATAGGGTTATTGCTTTTCTTAATCATTGATTTTTTAAGATTTAAAATAATTATTTTTATAATAAAAATATCATGACATTTGAATTAAATATTTATTAATTTAAATTTTATAAAAAAAACAGATTCGAAAGTTAAAGGAAGTCTGTTTAAATTTAAAATATTTTTTTAAATATTTGATTAAAAATGATTCAATGGAGAACAAGTTCTCTTTCCGATAAATATAGAGAATGAATGCTCTCTCAAGAATCGCATTCTTCACTTGGGAAGCAAGATATAGACGTAGTTTGATCATCGACGTGTTCATGAGAAGGAAAAAAATTTTAGTGACCGTGTGTTATCTTTATAAGTGAGTGGAAAAGACTTATTATCATATTTTACTACAATATCTCACAATATATAAATAATAATATATAACTTATGAGTTATTAGACAGTAATTGTGTAACAGTTTAAATTCAAATGTCGGTGGATACAGATGTTTGTATACCATTTTCAACTAGTGAAACCAATAGTTATTATAGACATAGCAGTACTACATATATGATATTTAAAAAAGAAGTTATGGGCACAAAAGAGTATTAATGGTAAAAAAAAAAAAAACACTTATGACTTCTTCCTCTTATTATCTTTTTGGTAACATTAAAAGAAATGAGAATAAAAATTTTTTAAAAATAGAAGATGACGTTAATCATATTAAAACTAAATAGTATTAAACCTCGGATTTTTTTAAGTATGAGCAAATTCTTTATATTTCATAGAAGATTTAAGTAGTTTTATTGATTGAATGTTTAACATGTAAATATCTTATGTACATGGGTTGACACCCTCTCGGTATTTATAATTAATAATAAATAAATACATAATATACTTTGAATCCCTTAGAGTTGAAAACTGCTCTCTCTAAATGACTTTTCACCGCTTGACAAAGGCACAACGCTGCCGTGCTTGGATGATGATCGCTTGACCAAGAAGGTGAGAATAAAGGAACGTCTCGATCGATTGATATAGGCGGGGACAGACGTTAACGCCACAACCTTATGCAAGAATGTGGAAGAGGCTAGTGACATGGACTTGACAGAATCAAAGGATGAGGAGCAAAGCAGGGGACTTTACAGGCACTAGGAGCGTAATTGGGTGTCCTTCAAAGACAAACTTACTAATGCAAAACTGGTGGAAAGGAAGGCTGACGATTTTAAAATTATAGATGAGGATGTGATACTGGCATCAGATGGGGAATACTTGATAATGACCTTCTCGGATAGGGTCCAAAATTACCTGGCTCAATCCATGAGGAACTCAGCGGTTGTTCATCTGTTGGGCAAAGCCATCGGCTACCGGGCTTCTCCTCAACCGCTTTCAAAGCCTCTGGCGGCCTGCGGGAACATTTCAACTAGTTGATCTTGATAAAAATTTTTACCTAGTAAAATTTACCGATCCTAATGACTACTCACATGCACTGACTGGGGGGTCCTTGGGTCATCTATGGGCACTACTTAACGGTGCAACCACGGATGACCTCTTTTTTAGTCGACAAGGACAGACTTACTTCGGTGGTTACTTAGATTTGCTTTTCGGGGTTGCCTATCCAGTATTACCACATGGGGGTGTTGAGAACCATTGCCAAGACAATTGGTTCGGTGGTGAGGATTTATTATAACACGAAGTCAACAGAGAGGGGGAAGTTTATGCATCTGGCCGTCTCAGTGGACCTTACCAAGCCCCTGGTTTCCAAAATCTGGATAGAAGGGCACCTTTAACGGGTGGAATATAAAGGGCTTCCAACGATTCGCTTTGAGTGCGGCTGCTGTAGCCACCTCTAAGAACACTGCCCTAGGAAAACCACGGAAGTCCTGGCTAAAGAAGCCACTCAAGGTGAAGGAAGGAATCAGTTTGTGCCACTGCAACTGGTGGTAGAAAGAGAAAATTTCAGACCTTAGATGCAGGTGATGAAGTGGGGACGGAGGAACAACAAAAAAGGAAACGACTCTATGAAGAGGAATGGCTTCGGATTTGCATACTATAACGGTTTAGGATCCCGCTTTGAGCTGATTGCAGAGATTGGGGAAGAAGATAACATTAGTACTGATTTGTATACAGAATTAGAGGGATTATGCGTGGGGGGTGTTAATGTTGAGGAATAGAGGAATTGAAAGTTAGGCAATCTCGGTGAGAGGGTGAAAGATGAGGAATAGGGTTTTAATAGCATGAAAAAATTAGAAGGAAGTAAGGTCGAGGGGGGCCGGGTTTTTGAATATGGACAGGGCCCCTGTAACACGCCCGTCGACCCAAGCCTAGAAATGACTGGAATGCCTGGGACTAAGCTGCTTGTATCGGGTAGGCCGAGTGATGAGAACATGGTTCTCCTAGTCAACCTAGACCCGACGGCCTCGATAAATCATGGTCAAACTCTCCTTGACCCGGTCAGTCACTCGGTTATCTGGATCGAAGATTGGGGTGCAACGACCTCCCAAGATGACCTTACCAAAATTAGGGAATCCGACACTTTTCTGTCAAATTCTCGCACCTAGAGGAGGGTTTAGCCTTCGGATTGGCAGTGCTCAGGAATCTGGGTGAGCAAAATATCGTGTCGTGACCATAAGGTAAAGAAGCGGAACGATGAGGTCTTGGATGCATCGACGTCTTCGGCGACCGATATCCTGAGTTGTGCGCGTGTGGGAATGAGCGTGGTTGACGCCTTGACGGCAACCAGAACGAAGTCCAGCCACGTTGCTGTTGACGATTAAAATTTGTCTTGGGGTAGGGTTTTGTATGTTTTACTAAGTTTTTTTATGGACTTAAGAATCTTTACTTGGAATTATCAAGGTGTGGCTAATCCCAAAATCAGCTGCATTCTTTAAGCATTTGTCCGACAACACAAACCGTTGATACTCGCTTTGATGGAGCCGCACGTTGCCGGGAAAAAAACGGATAACATTATTGGTCGCCTTGATTCAAATTCCTCTAATAGGGTGGAAGCCCATGGCTTCGCTGGAGGTATTTGGCTTCTATGGAATGATTTGGTTCGGGTGGAGATTCTGGGGAAAAATGTCTAGTTTATCCATACCCAGATTCATTACAATGGTAGTGAGCAAGGTGTCCTCTTTACTACTGTGTATGGGAGTCCCTAATCACAGAAGCGTCACTACCTATGGTGTCATCTCTCTCAACTTAGTAGTATAATCCAGGAACTTTAATGGCTCGTCTGGGACTTCAATGCAATTATTGAGGGATCTAATAGACAGGGTGGAGCCATTCGTGGTAGTGGTGGTTGCCCTCTCTTCTCCCAGTTTATCGGCCATAATGGCCTCTCTCAGCTCGACTTTATGGGACCTAAATTCACTTGGCGATGGGGAACTCTGCTCCAACGCATTAATCGGGCCCTCGTTAATTCATCATGGCTTGACAAGTTTTCGGACTCCTTCGTACAACACCTTCCTAAGATCTAGTCTGATCACAGACCTCTTCTCATCTGTTCTAGGATGCACCATATGTCAAGCTCCCTGCCTTTTTGTTTCCTTGCCGTTTGACTTACCCACCTCGGGTTTCCTATTTTTACTCGGAGAAGATGGGAAGGAGGTGCTTCATTCTAAGCTACTATGGATAACTTTCTCACTACACTAAGACTTGGAACACTATGGTTTTTTGTAATATATTTCGTAGGAAGAGGCGGCTAATGGCTCATATCAATGGTATCTAGAAGGCTCTTGAATCTTCCTTATATGAGTATCTGAGTAGGTTTGAGGCATCTCTTCGTCATGAACTCGAGGTGCTCCTCTTATAAGAGGAAATCTATTAGTTGTAGAAGTCGATGTGTGAGTTCATCTCTTTGGGGATAAGAATACTCGATGGCTAGGCGGCGACACAGTAGGATTTTTATACTCTAGGACGAGACGGGGAATTGGATCTCAGATGAGAGTTGGTTCAGCCACATGGCTATTGCATTTTTTCAGAACTTATATTGCGAGGAGGCGCCTAATAAGTTTGTTTTCACTATTCGAGGTAGGTTCCTCGCTCTCAGTTCTGACACTGTCGCTGTCCTGAGTAGTCCTGTCACTAGGAAAGGGATTTGGGTGGCTTTTTTTGACGTGAAACCCTTCAAGGCTCCTGGGCTGAACGACTTGCATACCACCTTCTTTCAGCATTATTAGGACGTTATTGGTGTTTCGGTTAATGCCATAGCTACTAGAATCTTTTAAGGCCGCCGCGAGTTAGAGCCTGACCATATCAAAACCTTAATTACTCTGATCCCTAAAGTGGATAATCCCAAATCTATAAAAGACTTCCGATCTATAAGTTTGTTTAATGTCTTGTATAAAATTATCACCAAGGTCATTGCTAATAAACTCGAGAATATTATGCCTAGACTGACTAGTGAAACACAAGTAAGTTTTGTTGAGGGCTGGAGTATCTCGGATAATATTATCATGGCCTAGGAGGTTATTCATTCGATGAAGCACAAGAAGGGCAAGATAGGTTGGATGATGATTAAAGTAGACCTGGAGAAGGCTTACGACAGGCTCAACTGGGGGTTCATTGAAGAAACTCTCTGTGATGCCAGCCTCCCCCATAATATGATTCAGACCATCATGCATTGCATCAGTTCCAGCTTCATGCAACACCTTTGGAACGGTGTGGCCATGAAGGAGTTCACTCCTTCGCGAGGCATCTGGCAAGGTGACCCCCTCTTGCCGTATATCTTTATTTTGTGTATGGAGTGTTTGTCTCAATACATCGATCAGTTAGTCCGTCATGGTGATTGGCGCCCGATTACCCTAAACGTGGGGAACCCCCAACTTTTGCACCTCTTTTTTGCAGATGACCTGATCCTTTTTAGTGAGGTCTCCAGTAGTCAGGTGCAACTTATCAATCGGGTGTTTGACAAGTTTTGCTAGAGTTCCGGACACAAGATCAGCACATCCAAGACCATCTTTTCTCCCACAATGTTGTTGATGGGGAGGTTTCCCGTATTAGTTCTATTTTTGGGTTCCAAGCTTCTAATAACCTGGGTACGTATTTGGGGGTTCCTCTCCTGCATGGTGGGGTTACTAAAGCTACCTACAAGTATATTTTGGACAATATACGTATGAGGTTTTCTGGGTAGAAGGCTACTAGCTTGTCTATGGCTGACAGACTTACCCTTGCCGAGTCTGTGCTCATGGCGATCCTAGCCTATGCCATGCAAACTGTCGTGCTCCCTAGTTCTTTGTGTTATCAAATCAACTGGTTAGTGCGAGATTTCATTTGGGGTTCCTCTAGTGGTGCGAGGAAGACGAGTCTCGTTAGCTGGCATGATATGTGCTAGCCTATCACACATGGGGGCGGTAGTATTATGAATCTTAAGAGCCGCAATAAAGCCTTCCTTATGAAAGTTTGTTTTAATATTATTGCTCAGTCGCACCTCCTTTGGGTCAAGTTTCTGCAGCATAAGTATAAGTGGGATCTTCTTGATAGTGTGACCAAATACTCTAGTCCTTACTCGCACCTTTGGAGGAAATTAAGTGGCCTTTGGAGGATGTCCACCTAGGGTTGGCTTGACACATCGGGGATAACATGACGGTGTAGTTATAGGAGGATAATTGGTTGGGGGGTTGCGGGCCACTTAAGCTCCTTGCCTACCAACCACTTGATGATTTTAGCAAAGCTCAAACAGTTAGGGATTTGGTCACTTGACTTGGTCAATAGAATTGGCACTGGCTACAGAACAAGCTCCTGACTAAGATCTTTCTGCAACTGGCCGCAGCGAGGGTTTTACAGGAGGGCTTAGGGGCCGATGTATCCTACTGGGAGTATCCTCAGATGGTAAGTTTTTTGTTAAAATTGCTTATCATATGATTACTGACATTTCTTCTCCTTTTGCAGATAAGAGGTGGAGTCTCATATGGAGTTGGTTGGGCACACAGTGTATTCAGCATTTCTTATGGCTGATTCTTAGGAGAGGGCTCCTTACCAGTGCAGAGAGGGTCTGACAACATATGGCGGATGATCCAGGTTGCATGGTGTGTGGTAGTGGCATTAAGGACGTCAACCATGTCTGAGGGAGTATCATCAAGTGCAAGCTCTATGGTAGAAGATTATTTCGCACATGGGCACCCACACATTCTTCAGCATGACCTTTGACGATTGGGTCTACACTAACTTACAGAATCAATATAGTTGGTGCTCTTCTTTTTAGGACTGGACGACGGTTTTTAGCATCATCTGTTGGTTATTATGGAAGCAACGGAATGTCCTGGTCTTCAATGGCAAACTGCTCAGTGTGGATGAGTTGAGACATGAGTGTACATTTCAGGCTTCCAGCTTTAGTTCCAAGTTGTCGGACCACCATAGCCAAAAGAACAAGAAGTTAGTCAGTTGGCATTCGCCGCCCCTAAATTGGATCAAGATCAACACATATGGGGCCCTCTGCTAGAATAGTGACGTCGCATGTGCTGGTGCGTTGGGTCGTTATAGTGTGGGACATTGGCTAGGCAACTAGCTCCAAAAAATTGGGTATTGTTTTGTTCTCCAAGCGGAGCTTTGGGACGCTTTGGAGGGGCTCAAGCTTTGTGTGGAACCTTAGGTCGCACCGTGTTATCCTAGAGATGGATAATAACCTCGCTGTTCAATTTTTGAACAAGATGATCAATAACGAGATAGTTACTACAAATGCAAATTTCAACCTTCTGCTTGCAATTAAGACTTGGCTCACGAAAAATTGGACTGTTGGAGTACAACATACATATTAGGAGGGCAATAAAGATGTTGAGTACTTGGCAAACCTGATTTATGAAAGGCCCATGGGGGGACCATTCTTTACTACAACTCCCTCCTGTGTTCCTGAACATTCTCCGTAAGGATATCTTTGGTGTTTCCTGACTCAGACCATGTAATATCCATATCTGATTGTTTTCGTTAGCTCTCTTGATTGCTTTCCTTTATATTTAAAATAAATAAATAAATACATAATATACTTTAAATTAAAATATTTATAATGTGAATATTAATATTGAATGATAATATTTTAATATAATCATAATTTAATGATTAAGACAATTAATAGTGATTTAAAAAATTTGTTTAGAGCAAGATTAGTGGATGGGTGGTGAATAAAAAAATTATAAAATCTTTACGTCCACGTGTCTCCAGCTAATTCAACCACCACGTAACGTAGAGGAAAGGTAATGCCATAATTTTTCAAAAAGTCTTATTTATATATTTCTTTTTCCTTTTTACATAAAAATAAATTAATATCTTGAAAATTCCAAACATTTAACCTTGTCCAAGAATTTAAAACGTCGACGTATAGTACATCCAAAAGGAAGGACATCCGGATTGTTGTATTTTAATTATAATCTTAATTATAATCTTAAATTTGCATAAATTGGGAGTTTATAGAATACAAAAAAAAAAAAAAAAAACAAGAGAATTATTTATCAGAAGGAATCCTGATTATGCCGAAGTCTTACTAGTTTTTGGATTGATTCGGA